TCCCCGCAGCATCAACACGCCTCGATCGCGCGACACCCGTTTCAGCTGTATTTTTTTTTTTTTTTGCGTCGTCTTTTGCCTCGCAGGGCGCGATCCCTGCACACGCCAGTTTACTCGCACATGCGTCTCCCGCCGTTTTGCGGCCGCGCTGCGGAGTTGCCCGTCGGTCGCCGTGGGGGAAACACACGTGTCAAGAGGCCACCAATCGACTTGGCGTCCCGCGCGAGGCGGCGTCGCTCAGCGTCGCGGACCGCCCTCCTGAAAAAATACTTTGCGCGATCGTACGCGTCCGCCTTCGCCTTCGCCTTGGAGGCCCTCGCCTGCGTCGCCGCAGGGCCCTTTTCCCGGTCCAGCGTGTAGCCGCGACGGAGCAGGCAAATCTGGCGGTGCGTCCGCCGGCTGACGCTCTCCACCGTGAAGGGCAGCGTGAAGCTGCGCCCCGCCGCGGCACACAGGCGAATGGGGACCGTGCAGCTGTCGCGGACCTCCGTCACCACCGCCTGCACCGTAACGGTGTCCACGTGCGGGCGGCTCCAGGACAGAACCTTGGCGACCCCGCCCGGGGCCGACGAAATCTCCAGCGCCGCCGCTGCCTCTATTCGGTTCCCGTACCTGTCGCGCAGCCGCAACACGATCTCAAACGGCCGCCCCACGACGACGGTGTTGAACTTCGAGCGCACTTCTGTACGCGGCAGGTGGACCTGGAGCGGCTTCACTCGAATACGCAGGGGGGAGTTAAATATCGGCTGCCCGCCCATGCGAATGTGTTGGTAAAAATACCCGGATTTCGTCGGTGCCGTGAAGTGCACCCAGCCAGTTGCCTGCTCGACTCTCACGGCGCGCCACTTTCCCGCGAAGGTGAGGCTGCCCTCGCTGACGTCGTGGCCCAAGCGGAGGTTTAAGAAGTTGCGCGTCGTCACACGCACGGCGTTGCGCTGGCGGCCGGCAGTCAGCAGTCGGGTGCCGACGCCGTATGCCTGCGACCAGCACGCGACGGGCCGCGTCACGTTGATGAGCCCCACGACGCCGGGATCCACCACGGACAGCTGCAGCAGCAGCAGCGACGCAATTTGCTGGGCGGAGAGCAAATACCACGTCGCGGTTGCGCACGCGCCGCGCTCCAGGCAGCGCAGGGGGCAGTTATAGACAAGGCTGCCGTCGTCGTACAGCACACATGAGCCGCTCCCGTACAGCTCCACCGCCAGGCTGAATTGCCGCACGTGGCGCCGCACCACAGCCCCCAGGCCGGTGTCCCACCCAATGGAAACGCCCTCAAAGAGAGGCTGCAAGACAAGAGCGCCGCCGCTGTGGCACAAGAGGCTCAGCGCGGAGGCAACGTACTCGTCATCCTGCGCCTCAAGCAAGGCGGCGGGGTCCAGCAGGAACGTCGTCGACGGCAGTTGCCTCTGGTGACGCTCACGCACCGCGGCGACGACGCGAGGCAGCTCCCCCCGCAGGCGCTCAATCTCTTCTGCCAGCGCCCCACGACGGAGTCGCTCGTAGATCTCACACCGCGTCGGGGCAAGCTGGCGGCCGAGGCACAGCAGCAATGTGCCGTCCGAAAAGCTGGCTGCGGGGCGCCGCTCCGGTGAGAAGAGGACGACGACAGAGTGCAGGCTCCGCGCCAGGGCGTCCCTCACAATTCGTGAGGAGTGGAAGGCCTGCATGCTCGCCGTGGGCTCGGTCATCAGCGACGCGAGGGCCTCGGCCGCGTCGGCCATCATGGCCTGCAGCAGGTGCAGCGGGAGTTCGTCCAGCGTGCCGCCCTCAAGCTGCAGCCTGCAGCCCGCCGCAACACCTGCCGCGGCCAGCGGCGCCGCAACGCGACGTCGGACATCCGCCAGAAACGCGTCCCGGACGAAACTGACGCCCACGAGGTTCACGTCGGCCAGAATTGGCCTGTACAGCGCGGCGCGCAGCACGGGCTCCACGTCCTGCACCGCGTCCTCGTTGAAGAGAAGGACGATGCCGCCCGCCGGCGCGGGGCCCTGACGCCCCGGCACGGCCTCGCGGGCGTAGCAGAAACGGATATCCGCCGCAGCCGCAGCGTCGCCCGTCGCCGCAGTCACCGCGAGGACGTCCTCCACGGCGACGCCGGCAAGGGCGTCCTTCAGCCTCCCGTCGAGAAACAACTCAAGCCGCGCCAGGCCGTCGTACATGAGACGCGTGACAGCCTCCACGCCCACCGCGACCCTGCCGTCGCCCCACTCCACCGCGACTCGGCCGCTCGAGGCGGCGGGGTGCGGAAGTTGCCGCAGCTTCTGCGTCAGCGAGCGGCACCGTCCTTCGGCCACGCCCCGCAGCCGCGCTGCCTCCCGCCTCGAGGCAAACTGAAACTTCGCCTGAAGCGGTGGAGCCAGCAGACGACGGGAGTCCACGTAGACGGAATGCCGCAAATGCCCGTTCGACAGCTCGACAAACTCCTCCGCGCGGTGCAGCACAAGCTCGACCTCCACCGTGTCAAGGGCGTTGTCTTCGTCCCACGGCTCGTAGTTGGAAAGAACGAGCGAGGACGCCAGCCACTGCAGGAACTGCACCCGCTGCTCCGCACTCCGCGTCTCCAGCGAGCGCGGGTTGTACCGTATGCGAAAGGGCAGGCCCCGCAGCAGGGCGGAGGCGACGGCCACCTCGTGCTCCAGCGTGAACGCCGCGGCCACCTCGGTGGCGCAAAAGGCAGACTCCCTCAACGCGTTTGCGCCAATCAGCCGCACATCGGCAAACGTCAAGCGACCCGCGTGCCTCCCCTGCGCAAAGCCAACGCACGTGGCCACCTCTGCAACGCCAAACACGTCGTACAGAAGAACCCGCGCGGCGGGCGACACGCCAGGGAGCTGCATGAGAAAAGAGTTTGAAATACTCAAAGCGTTCGCCCGGGCGGAGGCCAACGCCAGTCGCTGAAGCACTTGGGCCACACGAAGCACCGCGGCGGGGTTCCCCATCGCCACGGCAGCCTCAAATGCCGTCATCCCGGCCGAGTCGGGAGTGTCCAAGGCGTCGAGGAGTTTGGACGCAACCACGGCCCAGTCGGAGTCGCTTCTCCGCCGAAACGCCTCCACCAGCGCCACGAGGGTCTCTGCAGACCCAGCGGACGCAAGGCGGTGAAGGGCGTTTTCCGCGCCTCCTGCAGCGGGGCCGCTTAGCCGCAGCACATCAAGTTTTGTGCGTGCAAGCAGCAGCGAGGCGCAGGCCACATGCCGATGCACCGCGGCCACTTCGAACGGCAACCTGCCCACGCCATCGAGGCTGTTCGGGTCGCTCATTTCCAGCTTCAGCAGAAGCTCCACCACGTCCAGGTGCCCGCGCTTGGCAGCCTCGTGAAGCGCCCCACAGTCGTCCGCAACGTTCATGTCCCCCAAGACCCGAACGCCCACTGCGTTGTTGTTGCGCACACACCAGAGCAGCAGCGAGGCGCGAGCCCGCCTGAAGCTCGTGGAGGTGCTGTACGTCATCTCGCCGGGCCGCATGGCGAAGCGGCAGAAGGAGCGTTGCCGGGCTTCGTTGAGCAGGGCCTCGCCCACCTGCAGCAGCCCTCGCAGCCAACCGTGGCGCGGCAGCGTGGAGGAGCAGGCGAATATTTGACGCTCCAAATGCAGCGAGGAGGCGGGCTCTGCGCCTCTGCTCAAGGCGGCAGTCAGTAGCACCCGAAGCACCCGGGCGTTGCCAAAGGCGTAGGCCAAGTAAACCGCCGTGTCACCGTTGCCGTCCGCAGCCAGCGGGTCCACCTTCTCTAGCATGCCCACCAACGCCGCCGCCACGCGGTGGCAGCCACCCACAGCGGCACAGTGCAGCAGCGTCGTCTGCGGCGAAAAAAAATGTTCCAGTTTTGAAAAATTTTCCGCCAGAGGTACCGCGAGGCGGTCGTGGCCGGCAAGGGCCGCCGCCATAACAGCTGTCAGTCCTTTGCTGTTCCTGACGGACGCATCCGCCCCATTCGCGAGGAGGTGCTCCACAATCTCCATCTGGCCTGCAGCGGCGGCCAGCAGCAGCGGCGTGTTGCCGCCGCGGTCCGTGCTGTTGATTCCCCCCTGCTTCAGAAGCGCCGCGACGTGCGACAGCGGGCCGCGCTGGCACGCAACCATCAGAGGCGTGCGCCCAAGCGCCTTGCAGCACGGGCGATGCGTGGGAAACCGCAAACTCATCAAGGCCTCGAGCGCCCATCGGCATGGGTGATGCAAGGCGTGAAAAAACATCGTTCTTCCCCTGGCGTCGCAGGACTCCTCAATCTCGGCACGCTGAGAATGCCTCACGACGAGCATGATGATTTCCCTGGGGGCGCAGCGGGCCGCCACATGCATGACGTGGCGCGCGGTCCCTATCGCGCGCCTGATGACGGGCGGCACCTCCGCCTCCTGAACGGTGGTGAAGAGGCGATCCCCCGCGGAGTCACCCGCCGCTGCCGCCGCCACGACCGCCTCTAGAAGGCCCCAGAGCCTCAGCCTCGCCAGGGCAATGGCGAGTGGGTTGACCTCCGCCCGCCCAAGACACTGCCCGCGGGCAAGCAGAAAACGCATGACCTGCGACTGCCGCAGCAATCCCTCGGCATCGCCGGAGACAGCGGTCTCCACAATGACTGCCATGCAAAGCAGAGCCGGGCTAAGCGGGTAGCGCGCCTCCGTGAAGCTCGCAGGGCACGTGTCCTCCTTGCGGCAGGTGTGCCGCCGCGCCACGGCCCGCACCGCCGCCTTTCTGTGCCCCGGTAGCACCGAGGCCGGGGGCCGCTGCGGGGCACAGCTGCGGCGTATCCCGGCAACGGTGGAGCGGCAGTTTGTGGTCGACACCCCGCTGTTGGCCAGCAACCGCACCCACGGCAGACTTCCCGCCGCCACGGCCCAACCCATCGGCGTCAGCGCCGCGACCCCAAAGGAGCGGTTGCCGAAGTAGAAGGAGTGCCTGTGGTGCGTCACAAGCTGCCGCACGAAGCTCTTGGGCAAGCCGCCGTGTCGTAATTCCAGCGCCTGCTCAAGACCGCCGCCCGAGGCGGACAGCCGCACAATGTCGCGGTACGCCTCCTCGGAGGAAGACGGGCCAAACACAAGGTAGGGCAAGTCGCACGGAAAAATTCTCGCGGGCATTGGCGCCGCCAACGACGACAAACGACGTCGGTGGCCCCTATGCAAGTAGAAGTTCGTGAGCGCGGCAAGCGAGGGCGCTGTGGCGGCGCGGGGTCCCTCAATAGCCGATTTCTCAACGCACTGGAGAATGACACGCTCGCGCAGAAGCGTGCGGACAAGCTCCCATTCCTGCAGCTCCACTGCCGCGTGCAGAATCGTGTAGCCCTCCTCCCCCTGTGCCGCACGCCTTGCGAGAAAGGAACGTATGAGGCGGGAAATCTTGGGGCTACGTCCCTCCTCCCGTTCACCGCTCCCGCACAGCCCCAGGCCAAGAAGAAGCATCGCCCCCGCCGCACAGCCAGCCCTAAGCGCATAGTCCACTGGATTCACTGTAAAGTTGGTTGCCCGTATCGCCCGCAGAAGTTGCTGACCGGCCTCCGCCTCAACGGCGTCGGCGGCAGCCGCACACAGCAGCGCGGCACGCAGCACCTCGCACAGCGCCCGCCTAACAACGAAGTAATGCAGCGAGCAGATCTCACCGGAGGCGATATCCTCAGTGAGCATGCGCAGCCCGTAACACTCTATCAGACGCTTCAACACCTGCAGCAGCCCTTTTCTCGCAGCCACGCGCATGATGCTCGGCGACGCGTACACGTGCCCGGCCCGAGCCAACATCACCACGCCCTTGGCAATCAACGCGTCCTGTGACTTCGAGGGCCGGCGCGGGGCTCCACCGACGAGCGCCCTGAGCGCATCCCGGCAGAACTCCGCGGAGTCGGCGCACCGCTCCGGCGACAGCGGCCCGGTCGAGAGCAGGAGCTCCATGACCGCAACGTCGCCGAGGTGCGCTGCCAGCCACAAGGGAGACACCTCGCGCTTCTCGCGCCCCGGCGCACGCGGGTCGCCGGCGACAGTGCCCGTCGCGGGAATGGTGTCCACGGCGTCGACGGGGGCCCCGTGAAGGATGAGGTAGGCGACTAAGTCTGCGTCACGGCACGCCACAGCCCACAGCAACGGTTGTACCGAGCGACGCAGTCGCTGCCTCAGCGGGACCTGGAACTCTACCCTCAACACTTCCAGCAAGTCCAGGCAGCGCGTGCGAGCGCAGCAGAGGACAAGTTCGTCCAGCCACGCCCCCGCACCACTCAGGTCCGGCACATCGTGGAATCTACATGTATCTATCAGAATCTCTCGCAACAGCGCCTTCTCCCGCGCGGCCGCCAAATTGCAAAGAACCGAAGACAAGACGCTCGCCTCGCCCAGACCCCCATTCACAGCCGCGATGGAGCGACAGAGAGCCCCCAGTCTTGTGCTACGGCGCACCGCGTGGCGACGCAACGGAGTGAGGCCGGCAACAAGTAGCATGCGGAGGGCGGTCGTCAGTTGCCTCTCAGCTGCGTAATCCGCGGCATTCCAGCCACGGTAGTCCGGGCCCGCCCAAGGCCGCAGCCCCACATCAAACAGGAGACTCTCAAGCAGTTCGCCTTCACTGGCCTCGGCACAGTAGCTGAACACATCGCGGAGACGCAGGCGGTGAAACAGCACCCCAGTGTCCCGTCGTCGGATGACCAGCCGCTTAAAAGGTTTCGGCACAGGGTACAGGCCCCGTCGGCCCTCCGCTGACAAGGAAGAAGGACGCCTCACCCGCAACGGGGCCGTCGCCGGCTCGATGAGCACAAACGGCCGCGTAGGCGGCGGTGGAGGAGCATTCACAACCTCCCGGAGCGTCGACGCCGGAAGAACGCGCAGGCCGCCCACCAGTGCCCGCACAACGACAAAAAGGGAACGGCTCGCCGCGAGATGCAAAAGCTCCGTGGGGTGTGTGATGTCACGCGAGGAAAGGTCAAGGCCCGCCGCGAGGGCCCCACACGCCCGCTCACAGCTCACAACACCCCGTCTCCCGCGCACATGCTGCATCGTGTGCACCAAGGCCTGGGACACCTCCGAGGGCGAAAGTACGTGGAGTCCAAGCAGGGCACGGACGACGGACTCGGCGCCGCTTTCTGCGGCGGCACGCAGCGCGGCCCAGGAGCCATCCGCAGCCGCAAGCCTCGCACCAGCTCTCACCAGACGCTCCACGACGGCGTGGTGCCCACTGTTGACAGCCGCCAACAGTGGAGACGTTCCACCTGGTGTGACGTTCGGATCGGCCCCACAGGACAGCAAGAAGCCCACCGCCTCGGCATCGCCCACCGCGGAGCTCAGGAGCAGCGGGCACCCGCCATCAAGGGAGCTTAGGCCACAGCAGCCCCGCTCAACGCACCAGCGAATACCAACACCGTGCTTCCCCGCGCAGAAGCGGCAGAGCAGCTCGTTCGAATCTGTCGCGGGCCTGACCCCAGACGCAACCGCACGGTCCGCCAACTCGTAATGCCCTTTCGTGACGAGGTAGAAGAGCAGCTCGACCGCCTCGTCCGCCCGCGTCCCGGCACCGTGTGACAGCAACATCTCCACCGTACTCACGTGGCCGCGCCTCCCGCGGAGGGCGCAAAGAAGCGGCGTTACCCCCCGTTGCTCCTTCGCCAACTGCCCCCTTGACGCCTTCGCAGCGCCCCTTAACCGTCGCGGCAGCGCACGCGTCGTTGTCAAGTACCTCGCGGGCACGCCGCCGCACGCGCACGACAATGTGACGTCGGCGCCGTGGTCGACGATGAGGGAGTTCGCGGCACGCGTCATCCCGAGCTCGCACAGCAGGTGGAGTGCGCCCATCCCACTGCTGTCACAGGCGTTTGCCGCGGCAGAGCCGCGCGGCAAGGCGGCAATGAGGTACTCCACCACGGCGGTTATGCGCCCCCGCCTCCCACTTCTCAAGGCCGCCACGAGCGGTGTGGCGCCTGTGAAGTCCTGCAGCGAAACCCACCACGGGAACCTCTCGTGAAGGAAGCCGACCGCCGGAAGGTGGCCTCCCGCGGCTGCCAGGTGCAGCGGTGTTTGCAGACGGGCGTCGAGCATGCGCTCCTCCGCGAAGCTTCCCGGCTTCAGCTCATCTAAAAGAAACCTGAGGACGTGCACATGCCCGCGGGCAGCGGCGACGTGGAGTGCCGACTGACGCAGAAGCTCGTCGCACGCGGCTACGGCGTCAGGCGCAAACAAGTAATGATCGTGGAGGGATTTGGCGGCAGCCACGTCGCCCTCCTCGCAGAGCTGCATAAAGGTTGGGGAGTGCAGCGAAAATAGATCCCCGGGCGACATGCCAAGACTGTTTTTTAAGCGGCGCAGCCCCTTCGCCTCAACTCCGTTCGCGCGCAGCCGCTCGCACAGCAACTCCACGAGGCGGCCGTTGCGAAGGCGCAGCGCCGCATGAAGTGCGGTGTCACCGCCGTTGTCAGCGAGCAGCACGTCGGCTCCGGCCTCCAGCAGTCGTGAGACGAGAAACGCACTGCCGCCTCTGACCGCGAGGTGCAGCGGGGTTTTGCCCTGTGCGTCTTGCTCGTTCACGCGAATAAAAGAAAGGGAAAGCAGAAAGGCCACGGCCTCCTTGCGGCCCTCGTAAACGCACTCATGCAGCACCGTTCGCCCAAAGCAATCCTTCACGTTGCCGTTCCACTCATTCAGCAGCGCGGAAAATTCCTCCAGTCGGTCCGGGCGGCCGTAGGCGCCCTGCTGCAGCATGTGGCGCTCGAGCAGCACTTCCTCCGTTACGAGACGCCCCGGTTCTCCCTGCGCAATGAACACAACGGCCAGCGCATTGCGCGACGGTGGGTACTCGCCTGGGCGCGCCAAAACCTTCACCATCGGCGGCGCCGGCTCCATCGCCCAGCCTGCCACAGTCGAGGTGCCCCACGCACGCGGCAGTTTTGGAAAGACGTCCACCAGCAGCAACGTCGCCTCGTCGCACCGCGCAATGGGCACACAACCGCCGCACCTGACAAACGAAAACGCCAGGCCGAGGTCGAACGGATGCAGCGGGTACGCCATGGTTTTCTTCCACTCCTCCTGCGTCATGTTGACTGGCGCCCCGTGTACCTCCAGCGCGGCTGGGGCAGCTGCATCCCCCCGCGCCCTGCTTGCGAGGCGCCCCAGCAGCAGGCGAACCTCCGCCAGGGACGAGTTGAGGCGGGTGTGTATGGTGCCGACCAACCGGCTACCGGTGGCGCACCCAGTGCGGATCTGACATAGTATCGGTGCAGTCAGGGGCGTTCGTTCCGCCTCTGCCGAGTGCATTGCCCCGCTGCTCCCTTGCACTGTGTGTGTACGGAAGAGAGAGAGAAAGAGGGCGAGAGAGAGAGACCCGAGGCGCAACTGTGTGCGTGTGTTCTGAGTCTGGGGGGCCTCCGGTAGCTGCACCGCGCGAACGGGGCGTGGGGTGCAGAGACTGCGGCAAACAAAGTAAGAAGAACAAAAAAAAAGCAATAAGGAAGATGCTTGGCGACCCCTGTCAGGTGGCGGCCCTGCAGGAGGAGACACTCTAATTGGAGGCCCGATGCAATAGCAAAACGCAAGATGAAAAGAACCGCACACTCAGCGCCGCAACGGAAGAGACCTCAAAGTGGTCGCCACGGCACATGCGCCGAGAGCATCCTGCAGCTCTAGTGTTGTATTTACTTTTGTTTTCGTCTTCTTCTCTCCCCGCCCCGGCCCCGCCCACTACACTCTTTTTCGTTACTTCGCTTCGCTTGACGCACCTTGCGCCCCACACCCGCACCGACAAGACGCGTGAGGGGGACAAACGCAGGGGCCCCTCCTGCCTTTTCTTTTTCTTTTCCCTCCCCCTGCCGTGCGTGCGTGTCTGTTTCTGTTGTCCCCCCTTTTTTTTCTTCACCCGCTTTTGCGGCCCCGGCTGCGGCTACTGAACCAGCCGCAGGCGCTCCAGGAGGCCGCCGCACTTCACGCACGTCCCCCCCTCCGTCAGCTCGCAGCTCAAGACGACGTCGCACACCGCCCCGTCCACCCGCGCGCTGCTCCAGCACGGCCGCAGCCGCCCCACCACGCCGCGGAGCGTCGAGAGGAGCAGCTCCTCGTTGACGATGCCGTCGGCCGCCGTGTCGAGGCGGCCAAGCGACTTCGCCACGGCGGAAAGTCCCTCGCGGCCCAAGTCAACCGCCAGCATCTTCACGGCAATGTCCAGCCGGCAGTCCTCGCCGGCCAAGTCGTCCGACGGCGGCCAACTCTCCTGCGCAATCGCCCGCCGCACCTCCTCCGGCGGCAGCCGCTGCTCGACGGTCATCGACGCCACGCACGCCGCCACGGCGGAGGCCACCGACTCCTGGTCCAGAAAGTCGTCCGAGCCGAGCAGGCTGGCCCGCACGCGCTCCCAGACCTCCCTGCGGGTCGCGGTGTAGAATTCCTCCACGGGGGTGCGGAGCAGGTGGGAGCGTATCCGGCAGCGCTCCAGGGGGCTCAGCCGCCGCCAAAATCGCCCCGCGTACCCGCGCGGCAGCACGCAGAAGCGGATTGTCAGTCGTCGCACCAGCCGCCGAAGCGAAAACACCGCGTCGCTGGTCACCACCGCCGCCGCGGTGCAGTCGCGGACTATGGACCACAAAGTCACCCGCTTCATTGCCGGAAACGCGGCCCGCAGCCGCCGCGGCAGCTCGTCCAGCTGCTGCACGGTGTACGCGTCGAGGTCGGGGGCCCACAAAGTCAGCGCAAGCTGCCGCCCGACCTCGTAAGAAAGACACTCCAGGTGGCGCATCGAGGACTCCAGGCGGCAGGCGTGCGGCGGCACGTTCAGGAGCATGCGGCCGGGGTCGTCCAGAATGAGTTCCAAAAACCGCCTGCAGTCGATGCCGCCGACGGTGTCCGGGTGCGGCGACAGGAGCAGGGCCCGGCGGCACAGGTGCGACGCCAACTCCTCCGGGACGCAGTCCAGCAACTGCTGCAGACCCACAAAGCCCTCGGTGAAGGAGGCACAAAACTGCGCAGCTGTCAACACGGCCTCGTTGCACAGACGCGCGTCGGCGACGCGCAACACAAGAAACACCGCATGGGAAGAAAAAGGGCGGCGAAGGGGAGCCAGCACGCCACTCCCAAGGCAATCGGCAGCCGCCCGCAACCGACCCCGTTCCGTTGCAGTTTTTAGCCGAAGCGTGAGCAGTTGCCTGGGGACCGCGCCGCCGTCCTCCTGCAGCGCACGGATAAAGTCCGAGGCCGTGAGCCTTCCGTCGGCGTCGCGGTCAACGCGCGCCATGACGACGCCCGTCAACCAAACGGTGGGGTGGTCGGTCTCGCACATGCCCAGACTCTCGGTGAGGGCGCCGCAGAGCTCCTCCTCGTCAATGAAGCCGTCGCCGTTCGTGTCCATGCTGTCGAAGGCCACCTCCAGAAGGCGCATCTCGTCGTCGAGGAGGTCCACGGAGACGTTGAGCGGGAGCCGCCTCACCGCGCCCATGTGCCGGGCAAAGAGCTCCAGGTACGCGGCAAGATCAAGCGTCTCGCTCCCCGGCAGCCCCGGCGCCGGCACGTCCTCCCCGAAGGCGTCCCTCAGCTCCTGCGGCCGCACAACGCCGTCGCCGTCGGTGTCCAGGTAGACGAAACTGTCCCGCAGGAGGCGCCGCTCCTCGGCGCTCAGGCCATCGCACGCCGACGAAACCGACCCCAGCGTGTAGCGCATTGCCGCCGGCGCCGTCGTCCCTCCCTCTTCTCTCACTCCCCCCGCCCTTCGTCTTCTGCTCCCCGCGCGACGCACCCCCCCCCCACAGACACGCGCACTCGCCCAAAACCAGAGGAGGGGGAGAAAACCGCAAGGCACGAAAAGAGCAACAGTGACGCAGAGGCCTCTGGCGCCCCGCACCCACCGCGAGAAGGTGGGCGGGCAGCAAAAACAAAACAAAACAAAACACATACACGCGCACGCACACACACAAGAAAGGAGGGAGAAGACAGTGACGGTCCCCGCATGGAACAACCCTCACGAGGGAGGAAAATAGAGAAGGAGAGAGCGACAGAGTGCGAAGAAGGAAAACAAAGACGCCTCTCCCATGACTACATTGCAGTGAACAACAAAATAAAACAACTTACGCAGGCCTATTTTCCTTCCCCCCCCCCTTTTTTTTTTCGTCACCCTCGACCGATACTCGGACTCACGCACCACCCCGCCCGACTCAACTACCAACGATTTTTTCCCCGCTCCCTGCCGTGCCCCAAATTCAGCCCCGCCGCCCCTCCTGCTGCTAAGCCCCCAACCACTAACACCACTACTACTTCTTCTACTACTACTACTACTACGCAGACACGCAGGGAGGGGGTGGTGGTTCTGCGCTACATGCGCGTGGCGAAGTCCAGGTACGGCGCATCCTTCGACCACATCGTCGAAGTAATAAAGTACTTCTCCTCCATTCTGTACAGATCCTCGCGGGGAATGCCAAAATCCTCCCAGTCTAACATGTCTGGATCACGCTCCGGAGTGGCGCAGTTGTCAAGAAACTGGCGATCAAGCCAGTCCTTGTTCCACGCCGGTGCCCGCGTGCCCAAGGCAAAGCCCTGATGCAGCGGAAGCCGCTCGTTCAGCGCACACCCAATACGCCACATCCAAGTCGGCATGTGCCACGTCAGGTGCAGCTGGCCATTGCACTCCGAACACCAGCGCAACAGGTCGTTCGTTGTGAACCGCACCGGTCCCCCCAACTCTGCGATGCGCCCCTCCGTGTGATCGAGGAGAATGGAGCGGCACGCAGCCTCTGCTAAGTCGCCGGCGAAGACGGGCTGGTGGATGCGCTGGCCGTGGTTTGGGACCGGCACAATCTTCAGCAAGCGCTGGGCCTTGAGGTACTTGGAGTAGCTGAAGTCGTTCTCGGCAAAGATGTCTGTTCCGCGGATGATGGTGGCTGTGGGAAACTCCTCGAGCACCGCCAGCTCCGCCGCACGCTTCTGGCGGAGCAGCTTCGAGGGGCTGTTTAGGTCCGCGCCGACCATCGACATGTGCGTGAGGCGGAGGATGCCCAACTCGCGGCACCAGCGCGCCAGCATGCGCGGCCACTCCACGTTGATCGCCTCCATCGAGAACCACGACTGGCTGTTCTCGTACACGGCCGGCTCCTGCCAGGCGCCGACGACGTTAACGACGTTGTCGACCTTCTCTAAGATGGACTTCACGACGAACTCCTTGTCGATCTCGTAGTCGGTGTCGAAGTTCTGCCCGACGGTGCCGTCGCCGGCCATGCGCAGCGTCCGCACCCCGCTCGCAAGGCCGGCGCGGAAGCGAAAGGGCAGGATGCTGGTGAAGCCGTGGTAGCAGCAGAGGTGGTGGACGTGCATGCCTAAGATCCCGGTGGCGCCGAACGTGACGACGTTGACGCCCATCGTGTTGGCCTCCGAGCCGCCGCCGCGCCACGTGGACGAGATCTCGCCGCTCATGTTCCGCGCAAACACCCGGCGCGACATCCTCGACCTCCGCCACCCTCCCACGCCCTAGACGAGTCCGCAAGTACACAACCACTAAAAAAACAACTACAACGACAAAAAGCGCTTGAGCGCGGGGGAAAAGAGGCACGTCATTAGGCGCAAATGCACACACGTACATCTAAATGTATCCACGCAGAAGCCTCCAGCCCTCCGCGTGCCTCCGCCAGGGCAGCCGCACAAAGACGGTTCTTTTTTTCGTTTTTTTTTGAAAAGTTAACAAGAGTTGCCTTCTTGCGGAACAAAAAGGAAACCGGTGGGAATCCAACCGAAGAGAAAAAAAAAAAAGGAAACTAAAACAAAAGAGCGTCCTCCAGGTGCCTACTTCCTGGCCTTGAATGCGACCACGTCTTGCTTCTGCTCCGCAACCTTTTGTGCGTGGTGGCGGGCCGCCTTGCGCTGGCGAGCCGCACGACGGCGGGTGCCCACCAGGCGCAGGTACTCGCGGCGTTCCTCAGCGGACTTGCGAACCTTTGCGATGGCCACCTTCGCCTTCTTGGCCCGGCGCGCCTTCACGGCTGTCGTGATGAGGCGTTGAATCTTGGGCGCCTTGAAGCGGTCCTTCTTGCCCTCCTTCGTGACCTTGCGGCGGATGACGTACTTGCGCACGTCGTCGCCGCGGGAGAGGTTGAACAGCTTGCGGATCTTGTTTGCACGCTTGGGGCCGAGGCGGCGGGGCACCGAGACGTCGGTGACGCCCTCAATCGGCTGCTCGCCGGTCCGCACAATGACGACGTTCAGCACCGCAATGTCGCTTGCGAGGATGCACCCGCGGAGCGACTTGCGGCGGCGCTCGCCCTGGTAGCCGCGGAAGGTGTTGAAGCCGATGGCGCCCCGCTTCACAAGGAGCGAGACGCGGCTTGGGGCCATAACGCCCTGCACCATCGGGAAGCCGTCCTTGTCGGAGCCGCCCTGCAGCTTGAAGGTGTAGCCGCTGAACGCCTCGCCGAAGATGGCGCCGTCCACCTCGTTGCCGAGGCGGTAGTCCGTGAGCGACACGCGACGCAGCACCTCGTCGGTGACCTCGAACTGCTTGACGGTCCCGTTGCGGGGGTAGGCGATGTTAAGCTTCATGCTCTTGGCTCAAGGAGTCGCTGCGGCGGGAGAAAAGAAGAGGCAAAAATAAAAAAAAATGGGGAGGGAAGGCAGCGAAGAGTGGCGGCAACGGTGAAAGTATATGCATATGTGTATACACAGATATATACATACATGCACCCAGCAGGACGTGAGACGTCAGAAAGGCTGAGGGAAGTGAGGGGGCAGAACGGAACAGATACGGGCGGGGGCCGTTGCCGTGCATTCGCGGCAGCCGCGGAAGAAGCAGCAGCCGCGAGAGAGACCGCACCCCCCCCCCCACACACACACACATGCACAGCATGCAGCGCCTAATACCACACAACCTTCGCGGAGGCCTTCCGCAGCCAGACGCCGAAGCTGCTGTCAACGACGAAGGCGCCGCCGGCGGCGACAGTCGAGCGCGCGTGCAGGAAACCGAGACTCGTCTCGGCACCGGCGCCTTCATCGTACTGCACCACCGCCGCCTCGCACCGCACAAGCCCGGGGCTGGAGGCCGCCGCAGCGGAGACGCGTTGGGTCAGGGCAGAGACGTCTTCGCCAAACACCTGCCGCCGTCGTTGGTACAGCGCACGAATCGTCGCCGAAACGTCGGGCTGCCGCTGCGCCACACGGGCAGCGTGGTAGAGTGAGCCGAGGAGGGCAAGCGTGTAAAAGTGCAGGTCAACAAAGTCCGCGGAGACCAAGCAGGCGCCAAGGTCACCGCCAGGACACACGAAACCGTTGCAGAGAAGCGTGGAAAGACACCCGCTAAGGAGGGCGTGCGGCAGCTCAGAGCAAAGTAGTTCGTACTTGTGCGAGCGAACTGCGGCGTCATGGTGCAGCCGCTTCCTCCACTCTGGCTCCGCCCTTCGCTGGGGAAGCCTGCCACGGCGGCCCGAGCAAAGCGTCAACAACCCCGTGAGTACCTCGACGCAGCCCCGCAGTGTGGCCTCCACGCAATCCTCGTGAGTGCCGCTACTGCCGCCGCCGCCGCCGCCGGAGCGGCGGGTGAAGCCGCACGCCAACTCAGTCGCCTCAGCCACCGCCTCCACAAAGGTGGCCAGCAAACGGGCACGCCGCTCGTCCAGTGACGCCGTCATGAGCGACGCAAGCGGGCTGTCGTGGGGAACCAGCGAAGCAGCGAGCGCGTAGGGGTTCGACACCCGGCAGAGGCCTTGAACGTCGCGGAGCACCCGCGTGTAGTTCGCCACCGAGGGCTCCTCACGGGCCTGCAGCACGAGACAGTGCAGCGCCTTGGCAAAGAGAGTACTGCTCCGGGTAACGCTGGGAAGCATGCGGCCGCGTTCAAAGGGCGACAGCACGTGAAAAAGGGCCGATGCAGCCTCGCCCTTCACACGGCTCACCTCCAGAAGGGCCGCAAGCACCTGATTGCGCATCGTAGGGCCTAATGATTCCACAAGAAAAAGCTCTGCGAGGGTCGCATCGGACATGCGACGCATCATCAGTGGAGCTTCGGTGCTCTTGCGAAGCACCGCCTCAACCTCCTCACACCTGCCGGCGCGGAGGAGGCAAGAAAGATGCAATTCGTGGCAGCGGACCCACGCGGGACTCAACGCGTCGCCCGGAGTGGCCTGCACCCCCGACCAGAGCCGCAGCCATGCGGCATCGCTCTTCACCGCGTCCACTCGGTTCAAAGCGCAGCACGTCGCAAACGCCGTAGCGACATCCGCAGGGGTAAAGGCGGCAGCGGCGGTCCTAGTTGTTGCAGCCGTTGGCAGCCTCCCCGCAGAGGACAGCAACGGCCCGACTAGGCGCTCCCCGAGTTGCAGAGAGGAGGCTAGGCACGTCGCGCAGAGAGGTGCAAGCGACGGGGCGGCACAATTATGGCCCTCCGCGGCGTGGATGCAGCGGACGAGCGCGAAGGCGAAGGCCCGCCAGGAGGTTGTGGTCAACTCCGTGTCTCGCCCCTCGCGAGGCGTCCTCAGCCGCTGCGCCACGAAGGGTGGCCACAGGTCTGGCGGAGTCACCATGCCGACACACGCGCAAAGCAGCGCGTCCCGCGAGGCGTCGCAGCGCAGAACTCGCCGCAGGACATCGCACCTCTCGCGCTGCGCGGACTGAAGAAACGCCGCGACAATCGCCTGGGGCTCGCCGCACGTCAGGGAGGCCTCCAACTGCAACAATGCGGAGGGTGAGGAGGCGCAGCGGCGGGGGGCAGGCGTACCGCGAAACGGGCGGCGCCTCTTCACTCCCCCGATTGGGCTGCGCAGCGCAAGCACGACGCCCCGCGCCAGCATCCGGCGAAAACTGCGGGAGGGTTTCGCTCTACCGAATTCAAAAAATAAAAATTAAAAAAAAGAGGCAGAGAGGAAAGGCGTGCCACACGTGAGAGTCCTCGCCACGGCTGCGAGTGTGCGGCGGCTGGCTCACTGCAGTAGTAGAGAGGGAGGAGGGTGCCGTTACCGGGGCACACAGCCGTCTTCATTTTACACGAGTGTTACTTTATATATTTGTTGTTTTTTTTCTTTCCTTTTCGTTCTTCCTCGGCCTCCAAAAGTTAGTAGGCGTTGAGGAGCGACAAGAGCCGCTGTGGCGCCAGTGACAACCGCCGCGCCCGCGCCGCCGCCTCCTTCGCGCGTCGCAAATCCTTCGCCACGTCGCGCTCGAAGGCCACAAGTCGCGCCCAGTCAGCGGCGTTAAGCTCCGCCGGCTCAAGCCTGGCGCTCGCCCCCGCCCGCCACGGCACCCGCCGCACGAGCGGCGGGAAACTGCTCGGGTGCTTCGACAGCGCGTACATCCCTAACAGACGCTCGTGGGCCTCTCTCGCCTCCTGCGCGGCGTCGCTGCCAGTCCCGCCTCGCTCCAGCGCCACGGCCTCGAGAAACGGAATGGCGATCTCGGCGTGCGCCTGACGCGGAATCGGCTCGCACAGGCGAGCCACGCGAAGCAGCGAGCGCACGTCCTCCACCCAGGCGTCGCTGCTGCTGCGCTGCAGACAGCCGATGAAGTCGGCGCGGGTCGTGCTGCCACACATCCCGGTCAAGGTCTGCACGCGAGCAGAGATCAGGCCCCAACAGCCCTCAAGCCGCTCCTCCTCCGCCCGGCCATCCAGCAAGCCCTGCGGCACACTGGCGAGAAACTTTAGGCCTGCCGACGCGTAACTTTCATCGCTCACGGTCGCCCTTCCCTGCTGCTCCCTCCCCCATTCATCGCTCTCGCTGTCGCTCTCACTGTCGCTGTCGCGGCTCACGGACGGGGGTCTGCGAGCGGGCGTCCCTTTCGGTTTGCAGCGCAGCTCCAGAAGGTGGAACAGCCTCCACAGAGCGACGGGGGTCGTTGGCTTCTTGAACCGCAGTTGATGGAGGCCCTCAATCCCATCGTCGTCCCCAATGAGGTGAAACTCCCGCAGAAACAGCGTCAGGGCGTGCTCCACCGCGGCCTCATCCGTCACGCTGCCCTGGGAAAGAACCAAGCGAGCAACGTCGTCCTCAGTGGCGAACCGCTTCGTGGCCCGCGGGACAGCAGCCTCCACCGCAGTTCGGTCAGTCGGCAACAGGAAACGCCACAGCCGCCACATTGTCGTCCTTGCGCTCGCCTCCTCGTGCTTGGCCTTTTTAACCCTCACGGGGGCCTCTTCAAGCGTCTGCACCACCGCCTGCACCCGCTCAGCGGCAGCAGTCGCCAGCCGCTGCAGCAGAGCCGCGTCCATTGGCCCACCCAGGCACCGCACCGCCTCTGCTGCGGCGAGGCGCTGGCCAGAAAGAAGCCGGCGGCACACGGCGGAGACACCGCTCTTTGAGGTTGACTCCTGCAAAGCCTCCAGCAGCGGCTCCAGCTCGGCGACCGCCGTCTCCCGCAGTCGTCCCAGCGCCAAAAATGAGGACAGACGCTCGGTTTGCGCGAGAGTCAAAGCCGCGGCGAACGCCTTCACGAGTGCCGCCGTGCGTTTTTTTGGCGTGGTGGGCCGGCTCCGGCCCCCGGCGCGCAAAAATGACGCGGCATCCCCCGTTACCCCGTGGTCAAGCATGAGCACATCGAGCCTCAAGAAGTCCAGCACGAAGCGGGAAAGCCCTGCCTCGCTCCACTGGCGCGACGCATTGCTGGTGGACGCGGCGTCGGACGTTAGCGCGGACACCATTTTTGCCGCGGCGGCCGCCATCAGCTCCTCCAGCAGCGACTTTGTAAAACTAAACCGCACGGCGCTCTCGAGGAGCAGCCGCACTAACTTCGGGCCACACGCCGGGCTCGCAAGGGCCTCCTCCACAACTGCTCTCGCCAAGGCGAGGTCCACGACCACGTCGGCCAGCGCCGCGTTCTCGGCCCGCAGCTCCTCCACAATGTCTTTCTTGGGGGCCTGTGGCGCCTCTTCCGCGGCAGCCTCCAGCAGCTTCCGCAGCAGGCGGTCAGCAAAATAGAGCTCCAGGAGGAGGGCGGCGTTCCACACCTCCGGCTGCGCGCCGGCGGTGAGGACGGCCTGCTGCAGAATGGCACGCCCGTTGTCTGTGTTGCCCATCTCGACTCCTTCGTAGAGGGCCGCCTCCACCCAAAGGGGGCTGCGGGTCGGGTAGCGCACCATGAGCTCGCCGTAGAGCGCGGAAAGGCTGGAGTGGCGATGGTGCGTCTTTAGGAATTGAACAAACTCGTTGCGCAGCAGCTCCGACTCCTCCCGATCTTTGAGGTGTTTGAGGCCAATGCGGTAGATGGCCTCAATGCGCTCCAGCACGGCCCAGCGATGCTTCAGCACCAGCTTCGTTGTTCTGCAGTACTCCTGTATCCGCTTCTCCAGCGCCAGCTCGTACGCCACGGCACCCTGCACGTCCAAGAGAAGCAGTGGCTTTGCGACAAGGCGGTACTCCCAGTGCGTCCGCTGCCGCGCAACCTCCTGCGTCTCCTCGCGTGTAAGGAACCCGCTTGTGAAGTACTCCTCAAGGGAGGGGAGCAACTTCTCCAGGCGCGTCTCAATCGCACGTGCGCGAGCCATAGCTTACCTCCTACCTGATGCGTGTGTGAAAGACAGTGAAGCGTCACTGCATGCGGGGGAACGGGAGAGGAGGAGACAGACACCCATGACACGGAGGGACCACGCCCACTACACTCACACAGCCGCAAGGCCCGCAACAACCCACGCGGCCAGCAACGATGTGGAAGGAACACTGGCTGCAGAATGCCTACACACATAGATGCGATGGATAGGCAATGTATGTCAGGAAGCCACGGCGGCCACACACAAACGTCACAGCGCAGCAGTTCATCCTGTTCACGGGCAGACGGTGGAGTTTGTGAGGCGCACTATTTTCATCTGTCATGCCTCGGGGAGTTTGGCCTTCCCCGAAGCCCCGCCCGCAGCCAAGAGCCGCCGTGAGGTGGCGACGGTCTCCGCCATCGCCTCACCGCCGCTTCGTCGCCGTTCGGGGCCCGGGAGCTGCTCGCAGGGCCCGCCACGCCGCGCGCCAACCCGGCCCCTTCTCCCCCGCCGCCCGGCGCAGGCCAAAGCGCCGCTTCTCCATTCAGAAGGCGCTAAACGACGCGGCTGCACACAAAAAGCAAAACAAACAAAGCGGGCATGCCTTGGTCCTTCTCCGCGACCCGCACCCACACGCACACACACGCAAGAGCAACGCAAAACGCAAGCAGAAAGAGGGGAGCAAAAAAGAAGAGTAAGAGGAAGCGAGGAATCCGCCCATGCCGCTAGGGCGCCCCCTGGCAGCAATACGCCCTTTCACAGTCGACTTCACGTGCCGCCGGCGGCGACATCGGCAAACGGGAAGATAAAAACAAAACTTAGTAAGATTACAGGCGGAGGCCCTCTGTGAAGCTTTGACAGTTTGCTTGGTTTCTTATTTTCCTTCAGGGTGGGAGCACCAGGGGTGGGGATGAGGTGCGTGAGGAGTTGCTGCTTCCCCGTCCCCCCACACGCTTGCTGCTTTTGGTAATGCGCTGCATCCCTTTCCAGTTCATACATATAAAACTAGACAAATACATGACTAAATAAATAAACAAATAAATATGCAG